AAAAAAAATTAAAAAAAAAAAAAAAAAAAAAAAAAAAAAAAAAAAAAAAAAAAAAAAAAAGCAAATCGTGAAAATTGAAAAAGAAATAATTCGTATTTCTTTTTGATTCGTATTACTTCAATAATGAATTCTCATAATTTAATTCAACAGGAGCACGATGGAAAGCAATGTCAAATTCCGAGAAGCAGCCCTACTACGAGGAACAATCACGCCTATCAAAATTACACATGGAGAAGCATCCTGACTACAGGTATCGTCCGCGTCCCAAGCGTACATGCATCGTGGACGGTAAAAAAATGAGAATTTCCGAGTATAAATCACTGATGCGACAGAGGCGACAAGAGATGCGACAACTTTGGTGCAGAGACGGTGGCCCAGAGATGGGTTTTCTGTCACCAGTGGGTGGTGAAATGGGTTCCCAGCATCATCCAGCTGGGCCAGGGCCCTCAGCAAGGCCCTCAGTATCACCACCAGCATCCCTTCTTAACGGCACAGCTGGACCAAGTCAGGACCATTCCTCATTCTACTATCCTCAAGACAGTCTGTCACCCTCGGACATGATGAATTTTTCACCGGACAATTCAGGATCAATCGGTGGTTATGACGCCAGTCCAAGGCATCACGACGAGGATTGAACCGCAGCTCCGGGTCACCCAGTCTGTCGACCCGGAGCACCAAGAACTTATCACGCCCGTGAACTCTTCTGGTAGAAATTAATAATCAAGAGATAATCGTTATGCTTCATTGATTATGGATTCATCGTGGATTGATGCAGTGCCAAATTAGGGAACACAATGTTTCTTGAGATGATGAAGTATCCAGTGCCATCAGGCAATTATTTCAATTTATCATGAGGTGATACCTCAATGTGCCAAATTCAATAAACGGCCATGAATATTGCTCGAGAGCATGACGACAATGTTTTGTATAAACAGTGAATAATGATTAGAGAAATTAATGAATAAACCGGTGACGTTACGATAAGTAAGAGAAATTTTAACTCATCGATTGCCATCTTAAAAGTCTCGTTCCCTACACTGTTAGCAAGAAAATTGACATTTCAAGGGCAGTTTAAGAAAAATTTTCAAAAAAAAAATCGTGAAATTTCGGATTTCACTGGAAATTCAATGAAATTCTTCATTTTTGAGCAGCAGAAACACGACAATTTCCCAATTTGCTTGAAATTTCAATCAAAACGTGAATATTCATTACTACATTACGATTTTTCAATGAATCGAAGATTTCGGAATATATTCACCTGAATTTTCCTGATTTTCATGGAATAATTACCGTCTTCGTTAATTTTTCCATGAAATTGTGAAATTTTTGTGACGAAATTGAACAGTTTGGTAGAAATTGTCTAGCGAGCGATAATAAATTCGATTAGCCGGAGAAAAATCATAAAATTTCCAATTCCACTGAAAATTGAGGACAACAATTTCCGAACATATTTGCATTTTCAATCAAAACATGAATATTCAATAGCAAATAATGCTAATTTTTCAATGAATCAAAAATTCAAGAATACATTCCCCTGAAGTTTTCTGATTTCTACAAATTTTTATGCAATAATTAAACTGAAATTTACAGTTCCCATCGATTTTCCATTAAAATTTTCAATTTTCAGTAATAAAATTTCTTGAAATTTCAGTGGAATTATGATAAAACTTTCCACAAAAAGGATCGGAAATTTCACCCACAAAATTCCTAACAGTGTGCCTCACAAAAGAAACTATTGGCCATTGAATCCCCCCGAAGCCTCAATTATCTCCTCCAAAATGCACAAAAGCATGAAGCCAACTCCATGCCAACGCCTAGTACTTATAGTATTTTTATCATTTATTTATTGAATCTCATATCATTATCGATTGGTCTAGATATCGCGAAGAGTACAATAGGAATGATTGCGAATAAACAAGATCTTTTATTTATTCAAAAACAAAAAATCAAAAATCTTGTTATCTAGGTTTTCTTCTTTATTATTACCTCAAACAAACCGAGGACCGATGAGTTTGGGGAGAGCTTGATGTGATAATTACTTATGTGCCAAATAGCGTTTTCGGTGACACGGAGAGGGTAATTAATTCATTTTTCCTTAATCATAATTAAAAAACCGATATCTCCATAGTTCCGAGGCGCCATTGGCCTCGACGCAACTCAAAAAAATAAAAGACAACCACAAAAGAAAAAAAATAATAAACTAGAAAAACACTAGAATTCAATGCTCGATGTAATCGATCCTACTTCACCTAATTTTCATTATCCCTTTATTTTTTTTTTCTTTCCTCCCATTTATTTATAGTCAGTGCAATTTATAAACAAGTGTACCTAATATAATTTTATAAAGAGAGCCAGTATCCTCGAATATTGATATATCCGAGTGGCACGCGAACCAGTAGATATATTGAGGGTGAATGCACGCGAGGATAGAAAACAAAAGAATATTAATTAGCTTAATGTTAACGATAATTATTTATTTTATGTATATAAATGGAGATAATTTTTAAGTTCGGTTGAATCTAGTTCACCCTGTGCCCTCTATCTCTCGTCTCCCCACCCCGATCCCCCTCCCCCCCCCCTCCCTCCACGAAAAAAAACAAGACGTTTATTATTATTGTACAGTGTAATTATATTACTTGTGATGCATGCACGCAGAATTCTACGTGTTAATTACTCGATCACCTTGTATATGAGGGGGGGAGGGAGGGTGGAATGACATCGTGGGGTGAAATGGGACAATCCTTTGAATTGAGATTTTAGGAATAGGTGTTTGAGTCAAAGTTAGGGTCAAATTGAGGGTCAATTGTGTGGGTTAAATAGAGTTAAATTGAATTAATGAACTGGAAATTGATCGCCATGGGTCAAAATAAAGGTCAATAACAAAGGGTAAAATTTGGGGGTCAAGCAAAGGGTCAAGTTGAACCTCAATTTGAATCGTAGATTAAAGTCAGATTTTGTGGGTCAATGGAGGGCTTAGTTGACCCTTAATTTCATTAAAGATTAAATTGTTTGGCTCATGCAGAGGACTAAATTGACGCTTTGTATAATCTATTGGGTGGAAATTAATTTTTAGGGGTTAAAAAGAGGGTCAAGAATAAAGGGGAAACCCGTGTGGGTCAATCAAAGGTCAAATAAAATGAAGGTTTTCACTTCAATTTATTCAATGGTTTTAAGACTTTTTTTTTACGAATGAAGGGCTAAATTTCATGGGTCAATTTAAAGTCAATTTGATTCATAGGTTAAGAATCAGATTGTGTGGGCCAAGAATATACAGTTTAATTGACCCTTAATTTCATTCATGGGTCTCTAATGAGTCAAAAATTGAAAATTAAATTGTTTGGGTCATACAGAGGGCAAAATTGATCATTCACTGGACCTTTCCACTAGGAATGAATTTTAATAGGCTAACCAGAGGGTCAAAAAGGAATAACTAAGTCGTGTGGGTCAAGCAAAGGGTCAAGCTGACCCTCATTATTGACCTCAACTTCATCAAAACTCAAATTTGTAGAATCTCAATTCAAATGATAGTCTCATCTCACTCCAAATCCCATTCTCCCCTCTCGCTCCCATCGATGTTGAAGAGAAATTTAAACAAATGGTATAGTTTTTATTACGAAAAAAAGAAAAGAAAAAATATTTAGTATTCATTTACAATTTCCCCTTTATTTCTAGTTATCTTCGTTTTTTCAAAAAAAATTGGAGTTATGGATTTATTAATTTGTCTCTAATGATTTTAATATTGTTAATAATTTAAGGGATAAGCTTTACATTTTTAATTGTACCTACTTCAATTTCTAGAGGATTGTATGTGCCAGTGACGACTATGCAACGATGAGTGAAAACAATCATGAGAAGATATTTCCAAAAAAAAATATATTCGCAAAAAAACCATAAATAAATTAGAACGTCCACTCGACGAGAAAATACTCATTAGAGGGGGGGAAAATTGGCCCAAAGGTCTAGCGACAATTCCATTCAATCGTAATCAGTTTTTTTTTAATTGCCAGTGAATATTCATTCGTTGAATGATAGTTTCCAAAGGTTGATCGGAATAAAATACGAATCTTGCATTTTTTTATTATCCATTGATGTGCCATAATATCCCATTTACGTTTGTCTTTTTACTCCAATTTTTTTCTCCGTTCAGGTGCACATGTCAACGAGAATTCTCCCGAGTTCTCCCTTTTTATTTTTCATCAAATCACTTTGGATAAACCACAGACTCCCAATGTAACAGACAGCCCAGGCTTCAGTAAAATTACCAAACAAATGAAAAAAAAAGCAACAAATTAAGCGGCAAAATCAGTGCAAAACGCAATCTGTAATAAATAGCGAAAAAACTGTAAATCAAATATATTATATTAACTAACTATCGTAATATAAACTTTAAGAGGAAAAAAATACAAGTGAAACTAACATTAAAATGAGAAAAAAAATTCAATATTCCAAGCATTCACTTCATACATGTACGTTGTTGTTACATATATATATATATATATATGTAAAGGGTAATGCTTTTCTGACATTCAGATTTAGTTGTAGAAATGAGGGAAGAACGTTACGATTAGAATCCTTTATGTAAGCAAGTGTACATAGTCATGCAATACTGGGTCAGTGGAGTGTGTGTGTGTGTGTGTGAGATATGAAAATTGAATGCAAGTGTCGATGCCATTAACATTCTCACGGCCACCTTAACATAACAAAAAATTGTAACAATAAAACTGAATTGAGAGAATAAAAGAAATTGATAAATGATACGACAAATTGTTCATGAAAATTGTAGTTATTCGTAGATGACATTTTTTGATGGCACATTATCGATAATTGGAATAATTGTGTTAAGGCGAGCCGTAAAAAAATAGATTATTAGATAGCAAAAAGAACAAGTGGAAAAGTCACGGCCGGAAAAACCATCCTGTTATTCTTTTCCCTTTGACGAGACAATTTTCGGCGGTTTACTAAAAAAAAATATGATGAATATTTTATTGTACAATTCGGCTGTGACCAACTACGATTCAATCATATGTTTTGACGCTATTTATCGGCACGATGAATAAAATTCATTTGTAAATTTCTGGCAGTGACTTTTTCTATGAATAGTGACGTGAAAACAAAAAATAAAATGAAACAAAAATTAATTAAAATGCCCTGTACTGCATAGAGAGAAACAACGCCATTATAAACATGAATGTATCATTATATTTATTATTAATTTAAAATTTAGGTATCTCTTTGTTGTTTGTATTTTACAACCGTAATCAATTATTATGAAATATAAATAAATATCTCTATAAATAATAATCACTCGCTGTTTCATTTTTCTCCCAGTGCAATGCATTTTATTTATTTACAAATCATGAAATTATCACTAATTATTAATAATAATTAATGATAATGTAGGTACATGAAAAATAGAAATAGTGTCTCTTCTATCTGCAATTCAGCTCCTCCCAATGTCTTAATAATATTATGAACTTTGTCCAGTTGAAGTTTCTCAGCAGGTGTCATCATCTCCTCGATCTAAAACCCCCCGAATAAATCAATGAGAAAAATCAAGACGAATAAAGCCAAAATTATTAAACTCATAAAAATAGTTAACGACCTCCTGGAGCTGTTCCTCAGGTGCTCCCCTCTCCTTCAAATTACTAATAAGCGTCTGAATCCTCAACTGTTTTTCAATCATCCTCCTATTATCCACAGTCTCATGCTCCCTCCTCTGCATGGTATTGTACAACGCATGATAGCAGTGCTCCATCTCCATCCTCACGACCTGATTCAACTCAATATGAAACAAGAAGAAGGCTTTCAGAGGTGCCTGTGACACCCCCGCCTTCTTCACCTCCTGCATCTGAAGATAATTCTCTTGAAAAAGGATGAAAGTCAAGTGTTTGGCCTCCTTGGCAGGAATCATCGCCAGCTGCTGTATCTGCTCCACCTCGATGTACTTTTTGCTCTTCACGAGTCGGAAAATTCTCGCTGCTTTCGAGCCAAATCTCTCCATCACGATGTTCTCCAGGGTTGCCCAGGCCAATTGGGCGAATGCCTCCTTGACATTGACACTGAACTGTCCCCCACCAGAGTCCCCAACTCGTCTCAAAAATTGCCTCGAGTCCTCCTCGATCAGTCGCAGATACTGATCGAGATACTGCGTCAGTGCTGAAATATCCAGTCCCTTGACTTTCTCCTTAATCTCGATGTAAGGAATGGGATTGGAGGTGTCCGCCCAGGAGGCCGTCCTCTCGTACATCAGGAACAACATCTGCCTCATCATCTCCCCAGCATTGTCGTCCACCATCCTGGAGACTGCCTCCACAAGTGTCTTGTCCCTGAGGTCCTGAATCAATCTATCGAAATTCACTCGCCAGTGGACTTTGTTGTCCCCAGGATCAACTTTAATCCCTTCAACCATACCCTTGAGTGCCCTGAGGTTCAGTGTCGGTGTGAGGAAGTCTGGCTTGTCCGTTGTGATCTCACCCATCTCGTCTGTGCATGAACTCCTCATTACAAATTGATTTTTAATCAGGAGTTCAAATTTTTCTTTTAGAAATTCTAGGGATGGGGCTGCATCACCTGAAAGTTTTTTTTTAGGCAACTGAACGGTACGATTTCAATGAATTTGGGGTCATTTCAAAGGGAGAAGAATAATCTTGAAAATGAGCGGAAAAAAATTGAATTTCACTCTGCCAATCTCTAGATTTTTTACATTGAAAAATGTTCTGTTTTAGATTTTTTCAATTACAGATTGAATTTTACTTTCCTCAATATTTTCGTAATTATCTTGAAGATTAGGGGTTTTAGAGGAAAATATCAGAAGACGTTTTTTGTAGAGAATAAAATTCCCAACGGAAAATATTTTATCATATTTCCGGCTACAACCACTCGTTGTCGAGATATTCGAGATTAATGAAGACGTAAAAAATGTACGAATCTGATATGTCGGAATTCAATCGCATTGGTGTCTTACCCAGCCTCTGCAGCATTTTCGTGTATGCTTTAACAATCACTTGAGAAGCAGTGTCATATCCCTGTTTGAGTATTTCCTCTAGCATAATTTCTCCCTCATCCCCACAACATTTTTTAACAAAAAACATGAACCTGAAAGAACAATAATAGAAATCCCTGCGAGTGAAAGCATCATCTCCAACAGAAAATCACAATTACCTGGAGTATCTGAGGACCATTGTGATGTTATCCGGAAGGAGAGTATATCTCATCCCCTTTTCCGTCATTTCGTGGAAGACGAAGCCATATTTTATAAGAACACATAATGCTTCTTTCACCTAAAACCCCAAACCATGAGTTCATCACAGAAAAAAAAATCACCTCAATATAAAAAAATATCTCACAATGTCCTAGAGATATCGGAATTTTCGAAAAGACATTTTTTGTGGAGAAAATCAAGAGCTACAAAAAAAGTCTTCACAAAAATCTCGTTATCTTGTACAGATATTCGTCAAAAACTTGATCAAGAAGAACATAATTACCTTGACAAGGGGAATGCCGGTGGTTACAGTCACAAAATGCAATCCCTGTGAGCTATTTTTGTACAAACAATCACCCACTGACTGAACAATACTTCCAAAATGCTCCAGTAATATCGCAGAACATAATTTACCGCAGTAAAAGGACATTTTGGGAGATTAACGAGGGTTTCGTCCCCGTGCGATGATGAAACATGTGTTTCAGGGGTTGAAAACAAATCGGTGCAGAGGTTAGGTTATAACATATGTCGATAAAACAGGTTTTGTCATTAATTTAAACGAAATGAGGCGCCTTGAAAATTCTTTACATTATGATTAGTTATTAATTATTAATTAATAGGGGAGGTTGGGGTAAACAGAACAATTCTTTCCCTTTGTGATGAGCCTAAACTGAGCGATATTGACACATTTGTTTCTGAGTTATGAATAATTTCAAAAAAGTCGAAAGTGTCCACTTTACCCTACCCTCCCCTATTATATATTCAATTTATTTTTCGCTATTTATCGAGGATTACGTTTTGCACTGATTTTGTAGTTTCGCATTTTCATTATTTTTTCCTTCGACTTAATGAGTAACATGTGCCATTCTTTTGATTGTTATTCATTCAAATAAATGAATGAAAATTTGGGAAATGCTATACAGAATATGGGCTAGCGGAGTTACTATTTCCTATTCTATTAATTCGTGACATCGTTGAGGTTTTCCCACCCATTTTCCAAGACTCAAACCCATTTGTTCGTTCTAAAGATTTCCTCGGAATATCAATGCGCTAATTAATTGAAAAAATAATTCAGAAAATTCATCAAATCGATGAGAAGAATTTTTTGGATTTGTTCTCCTCAATTAAAAATTCAATTCTGATGGCATGCAGAAGGAGTTTGGAGGTGGAATTCTAAAAAGTCCAGATTCTCTGGCAATTCTCAAGAAAATAAATTCCACCTTTTCCTCCATCTCGAATTTATCCTCCGCAATTTCAATTTTTTTAATGAATGAATTAAAGCCTGCAAAATTCGTTGCAGAAGACGATACGCTGGAATAATTGTTTCTTCTCTATCAATTCTCGAGTTGGTTGACGCTTATTTTGTTATTATCGAAGTCTTCTCAACTTCATTTGTTAATTCTCAAAACTTCTTCTGAATACCAATTAATTCTCCCAATTAATTAGAAAATTCATCAAATTGACGAGAATTTTTTTAATTTGTTCTCAATTAAAAAATTAATTCTGACGGCATTCAGAAGGAGTTTGGAAGTGGAATCCTACGAGCGCAAATTTTCTGGCCATATGCAAGAAAACAAATTCCACTTGTCGCTTCATCTCGCATTTTCCTTCGCAATTGAAAATTTTCTTTGATAAAAATCAACAATAAATAAATGGGACTCACCGGTGCTGAACCCAGGCCTCCATTTCAGGATGTTCCCCAATGCTGCTCGATGTTGGCTCCTCCTGATCCCTCGACACTCCTCACAAGCACTATTCACTATTTTCAAAATCCAATGTCACAAAAAATAAAAAAAAGCACTCTAACTGCCATCTTGTGTATTTACCGTTTCGTCGACAATAACGAAAATTCCGAAAACACTTTAACAATTTTTATAACCTCAAAATCCCAATTAAAGTAGTTCATGCCGACTGTTATCACACACTTCACCGTTCGATGAGACTTGAAAATTATTAAAAAACTAAGAAACCGAACAAATTATTAAAAACCATTGTCCGTTGTCCAGAATTCTCCAGCAGGCGCCATCTTGTGGCGTCACAAAGACGTCGGTCACATCAAAGAAAATTTTCTCCAAAATCTTCCTTGACACACTCCAATATTGTCCTGGTCCTCACAGCCCACATAATAAGTTCCAATTTCACACTAAAGTCATCCCCGACGATTATTATGAATTAATTGTCCCATTGCTCATAATTATTTTGATGATTTTCGCACGAATCTCCGCAAAAACGCACCGAACAATGTCCAAAACGTCGTTCCGTGCCAAAGGCCACCCGCCATCTGGAATCTGCGCGAAGCCGATGCGCAAGGCACTCTGAATTTTTGGCGTAAAATTTTCCCAAAGGCTTTAATCCATCCATTACCCCAGAATAACCGACAATTTCACGATAAAGTCATCACTAGCGATTATTATCAACGTTTTATCCCATTATTAATAATTATTTTCATTATTTTACCCTCAATTTCCTCGAAAATAACCAGGACAATCACCGAGCGTCTCGTCCCGTGCCAAAGTCCAGCCGCCATCTTGAATCTGCGCGGACACGATGCGCGAGCAACTGGTCTCAGAGATTTTGGGGTAAAATGTTTCCAAAGGCTTCAGTCCTTCTATGACCACTCAATAACCGCCAAATTCATGATAAAATCGTCACTAGTGACGATTATCAACGTTTTATCACATAGTTTACAATTATTTTCATTATTTTACCCTCAATTTCTTCGAAAATCAACAGGACAATCGCCAAACGCGTCGTCCCAGTGCACAGGCCAGCCGCCATCTTGAGAGTGTGCGCAGAGAGGATGCGCAAGGCACTTGATGCCAAATTCAAGAGCGTAATAAGAAATTTAAGAGTAATAAGGTTCGAAATAAGCGTGAAAATGAGAGTCAGTAATAACCACTGATCTCTATACTAACTAGATGGCTGCTAGGGATGGGCGATGCTTGTCGATTAATTGAAAAGAGTGATTTTGCCTGCCCAAACATCGACGTTTTTCATTCGATGCTTTGAACGGTCGATTAATCGATGGCCGATGGGTTCAATTTTTTCCAAATGCCGATGTTTTTGACCAAGCTAACAAAATTTTTCATTTTTTTCTCAAAGAATAATGTTGATTGATTGAGAATAAACGAAATAATAATTTATTCGGTCAGAAATAATTATTTGCTACAGTATGTACGTTATAAATGATAAGTAAACAACTCAAGTGGTCTATTATTTTTTGAATTAACATTTTTCAATTTAGCAAACCAATTTCACGATAAAATCACTACAAATGATGATCATCAATTTTATTCCATCCTCCCCAATAATTTTGATGATTTTACTCTCAATTTCTTTCAAAATACCCAGAACTCTTGAAGTAAAAATGTTTTAAACCCTCCAGTTCATTTATTACGCCAGAATAATCCCCAATTCCCCGACAAAATCATCACTAATGATTACCCTGAACGTTTCATTTAATTATTTATAATTATTTAGATCGTTTTACCGTCAATTTTCCCTCGAAAATACGGAGAACCGGTTGTAGTTCCCTCAATAACTCCGCCATATTGGTCGTGCGCGATGTCAGTCCACGCATGCGCCCACGCACCCAAGATTTCAGTCGTGTGCTCTCATTCCACCCCGTGTCCTTCATTTTTTTCCTCCCATTCTCGCCAAAAATATCCCCCTCTCTCTCCCTCACGACTGTTGACGCTTTTCCATTAATTACCTGTCTGTTCCTTGAATAAAAAGCCAGACCACTTGTTTGCATACTCTTTCGTTTAAATAATCAACGAGTCCTTTCTCGTCACCGTAAGGAGAAAAAATCGTGAGAATAATTGCCGAGTGCCAAGCATTTTCGTCGAGTGCCGCACACATACATAATGGACATACTCCACTCTAACGAAGGTACGGGTGAATATGAAAATCACAGGATATTGCTGTAATTTCACTTGTCGGGATGGGCATCAGGTCGTGTGAGGGCTTAACGCTGACATTTGGATTGTTATGCATCAGTGAGGTAACCTTTCATGATCTTTAACCTTACTTTGTTTTGTTTCTCGCAGTTGTGCGATGGTGATGAGCATTGTGGACGGTGCCACTGCGTGATGAACGTGAGAATCTCTGACAGATCAACTTACCTGTCAACGTGAGTTTTTTGTGGGGGGTTTTTGCATACGCAAGTGGGATTTTTTTCATTTTATTTGGTAGTGGGAGGATAAAACTGGAGTTGACTCAAGTCTTGTTTGGTTTCATGTAACTGGAGGAGATTCGCTGATGTGATGAATGTTCTGTGTCAATGTTTGGACTTCAGTCGAATACTGTTCCATTTTTTAATTTGTAAAGAGGATTGCAAAAATCCTTTTTTGATTGAATAATGATTTGACAAATTGGGGTTTTGAAATATTCTGTGTAAGTGGAGAAATTACAACTGTTTGATTTCATGTAATTCATGTCGTGAATATTTTTAACTGAACTTCTGTCAAATACAATTCCAATTTTTTTCATTTACACAGAAAATTCAAAAAAACTCATTTATTATTAAATAATTAAAGTAAGACTTCGAGTTGACTGAAGTCTTCTTGATTTCATGTACCTGGAGAAAATTCAATGATCTGATGAATATTACGTGTCATAAATGTTTGAACTTCAGTCTAATACAATTATATTTTTTGCTTCCGAATGGAAATTTTGCAATCGTTCAAATTTAAGTTTTTGATTTTTTGTGTTATATCGACCCAGTATGATCCATTATTGCCCTTGTGACCGCATTCGAAGATAAAGGCGATAGCAATAATCGTTATTTTGATTCATTTGAAAATTGCAGTATTTTGTATTTTTTGAAAATCATGCTCCAAATGAATTCAGTCATCGCTCAAAATATTTGGTTTAATGCCATTAAGTCGAAGTTAAAAGATGATTACTATATTCGTTGATTTCATTTTGATGGTGATCGTTGAAGATTCCCAATTTTTCATGAATTTCCCTGAAAGTGGGCATTTGATGCTTTCTTCAAATGTGATTTTTCAAATTCATTCAAGTACGTACGAATAAAATTTTTCAATCAACATTTTATCGAAGGGCTGAAAGGAGAGATAGGACTGTAAAAAAGGCAATCGGTTGTACAGAAGAAAGTGACAAAAGAATAACGATGATGATAATATTTAATTAAGTTGAAAATCCGCCAACATTAGTTGAAAAGAAATTTTCTTCAATTTACTAGAATAACATGAACAATGAATTATACATGATAGACGGAAATGATGTGCAAAATAACCGTTCAGAAGCATATTGTGAATTTATTAGCAAAAATAATTATACTATACGCAATACAAGAGCAATTTCCCACTTGTTTATCATCGCAGATGTTCAGTCCAGTGCAGATAAAGCAAGAATTTTCCAACACGGAGGATTCCAGTCAGAACGGCCAGAACTGTGTCCAGAGCAATGTAGAGTATCCAGTATTCACGAATCAGGACGTTGAGTACATGTACAGACAGTTACCCCAGTTCTGGAGTCAAAATCCAGGCATTCAAATGGCCGAGGAAGTGGTGATGACCAAGAATGATCTGCAGGGACGACAAAACGTGGCTCAATCCAGCCCAGTAAGTGTTCAACACAACCAATAAAAAAAAAGTTGAATAATTCAATTGTAAATTTCTATTCCCTTCTTTTAATTACCTCATCGAGGAAATAAAACCGTTTGACGTACCATAAAATGAGTGATGGATCATTTGACACTTCGAGGCTTTCATTATTAGTTATTTCCATAAGTCATTCACGATTATGAACACGCAATGTCAAGATTTTTTAATTGACTATATTTTTCCCAGTAAAAACTGATGGAGTCATCAGCTCTTCAATTTTTTTCATACTCCATTTAAGAAACTTCTAGATGTTTTAGACCATCAGAAATTGAATTACATTCGTCTCATTAATAGTTAATTATCTTTGTTCTGAGTGTTTCCACAAAACGTTAAATCGTCAGCAAAATTTTTCACGACATTTTAATGATTATTACGAAAATTTATGTCGCAGATACATTTTAATTTTCAATGTTGTAAATTTTAAATCAAATTGAAATCAAATCGTCCGTGAAAAAATCAACGAAATAATTTTTTTCATTTTCAAAACTGAAGAACGATAATTACCTGGATTGTCATAATTTTCAAAACGAATATGAAAATTTCAAATAAATGAGTGTCAAAAACAGTAAATTTTTCTTCAAAATTTCACGACTAATTTTCCAACTTTATTGCATCATTAATTCAAAGAAATTTCACACATTAAATTCCAAAATCTTGCGAATCCCGAGCTGCCTTTATTTTATTTCATTCTTCACAATGATTTTGATAACCAAGAATTGCCTGAACTTAAAATAAATGACAATTTAATATCAATAGGTGCTATTGAAACCTAAATAATAAACTGCCCGATAAGCCACAGAAATGATCATTTATTGATAATAATATCTTTATTAATTATAATTATCTGAGATAATAATAATAATGAATTATATTTTCGGTCTTCCAGCAGGTGTCCCCGTACCTGCAGTCGACGCCCCTCTTCCAACTGAGCCAACAACACGAGTTGAGCTCCCTGAGCCAGCACGTGTCGTGCCTGCCAGCCCCCCAGGACCGCCAGCAGCTGACGCAAATGCTCCAGCAGCAGAGGCTAGACCTGCCGGAGGGCTCGGAGCCCCTGCGCCAGGCCTCCCCAACCAAGCAGAACGGCCCAGGCAGGCCCCCCAAGTCCACCAGCACCCCCTCAACCACCAAAAAGCTCAAGTGTCAGTGTGAAATATGCTTCAAGGAATTTGGCCACAAGAGCAATCTCTTCATTCACATGCGCACCCACAACGGCGAGAGGCCGTACAAGTGCACCCAGTGCGAAAAATGTTTCACTCACAGTGGTAATTTGGCCATTCACATGCGCACCCACAGCGGTGAGAGGCCCTACGCATGCCAAATATGCGGCAAAATGTTCAGTCACAGTGGCAATTTGTCCACCCACTTGCGCACACATTCTGGTGTTAAACCTTATAAATGCAGTGTATGCGGTAAAGAATTCAGACACAGTGGTAATCTGTCGATACACGAGAGAATACATTCGGGTGTCAAGCCGTTTCAGTGCAAAGTATGTGGAAAAGAGTTTTATCACAGTGGAAATTTAACGACACACATGAAGAAACATCCGGTTACCAGCAAGGAGGATTGCGAGAGTGAGGACGACATGAGGATTGGGGGAAATATTGGGGATAGGGTTGTTACTGTGAGGAATCACGAGGAGGGGGAGGACGCCAATGAGATGGAGAGAAGTGCACAATCACCTTTTGGAACGAACAGTTAATGATGCTTTTTCAGGGGTATGGTTGGAGATCCATTCGAGGATGAGTGAGTACTTGAGACATTTGAAATGATTGAGAGGAAATTTACGGTTTATTTGGGGAATCAGTTGCTTCGATTGAATTTATTGATTATTTTTATTTTTTACGTCACGAAAGTTTTGGTTGAAAATTATTTTTCAGAAGTATTTGTTACTCGAGTCATCGAAGGGGTGGGTTACACTCGATTAAGTTTTTGTTCATAAAAAAGCCATTTCGAATATTTTTTTTCATCCAGCAATTGATGAATAATGAGAACTTAAAAATTATGAACGAAAATTGAATGATAATCGAGATATGACAAACAACAACAGGAAAGAATCTATTAACTATCCGACGACTCCATAAAAATGCTATAATTAATAACTAATGCGAATTTCTTAAAACATTTTTATTTTTTTACTTCGGCTAATTCTCATTTTATTTTAAAAAAATCAATTTTAACAGAATGAATATAATAACGATATTCAAGACATGCTAAACATTGAAATAAAATAATTTAACTTATAATTTTGACAAAATGAAATGAAAAATATGAAAGCAAGAAAAAATCAACAACATTCAGTCCTAAAAAAATAATAGACTTGAAATAATTATTTCAAATACTATTTCCTGTCGGAAACAGAAGTAGAACTCGATATCTAGAGTGGGATTGCGACCATACTACCTCGAATGTACGATATTTTCTTATTTCAACTGGAGGAAAAGAAGTTGTTGGAAACTCCAGTGAACCTTGTACTTAAGACACGTAATTTTTTTTAAATTCATCATAACCCTTTATTATTGAATAATTCCACTCCTCGAGACTCAGCGAACGGTCAAGGGGAGCTGGAAGGTGATATTGTCCGTGTACTCTAGTTGATAATTTCAATCGATGAAGAAACAATTTGTGGATCAAATACTGAAACATGCATACTGCGTTGAATGATACATAATTACTCGTAATTACTAATACAAAAAATTACCTACTTTTGTTAATTAATGGGCCCTTTAATCACACCAAAATGTAAACAAAGGAATCATGTTTGAAACATTTATTTTCTATTTTTTAATCTTTTCAATCAGAGATGTTAAAATGCAGAATTATTAAATTAAAGAGAAAAGTAAAAAAAATGAGAGATTTTTAATTGGGACTTTCCGAGGGACAACTGAATTACATTTTACAAAAAAATGTAATTATTTTATAGCCATTTTTAATCGCTTTTGGAATTTGTCTCAAAAGGAGACTTCGTAATTTATTTTAGACTCTTGAAATGTTGAAGTGGACTTCAACGGAAAAACATATATACAAAGTAAAAAAGCAATTTCAACTTCATGAACAACTGAGTGGTAATTTTTAGGAGAATGACATTTAATTTGAGGAAAAATCATGAAATTTCAAATTTCAGTAAAAATTCAATAGAACGTCAAATTTTTCAGCAGCCGACAGACGATCATTTCCTAACTAATTTGAATTATCAATCAATACATGAATATTCAGTAGCAAATTGCATTTATTTTTTAATGAATTAAAAATTCACGAATATACCTACATTCACCTGAATTTTCCTCATTTCTGTTAACTTTAATGGAATAATTCAACTAATATTTATATTTCCTACCGATTTTTCCTTGAAATTTCATTGAAATTATCACTCAATAAAAAAAACTCCCGAATTGCACCGGAAATTTCAGTCAAAAATTTCCAGAAGTATAGGATACCTTCAATTCAAGATAAAATGTCTCGTCGTGATCATCCCCCCCCCTTCCCCCCTCCAGTATCCACATTTTCTCTATTTTTACCTTTAACGCAATTTCATTTCCAATAGAAAAATCCTCACGTTCTGTGAACAGCTCTGTACTTAGCACAACGTGGCGCCAGTATTTCCAGGTTTTACGGTGTTGCATTAGTATAGCGCGCGACACCGGACGCCTTTCGCATTGAAACGAGCATTCCTATGTGTTTACAGGCCCCGATTGATTTCGATTTGCTTTCTCACTCGACTATGGTCAGTGAATAAAAATATCATTAATCATACATCATCGGCGATTCCCCATGCCGTGAGGCCCAATCATTCGGTTGATGCCGAGTGATTATAATTGAACGATACGAGAGTGAAAATAAAAATCAAGCCAACGCGGATGGAAATTCACAATGAACGAAATTCATTTTAATCGTCTCTTGGCGCCGAAAAAATGGAACAAACAAACAGCTATATTGCTCTTGAACCCTAATTGCGTAACTTGACGACTGATGCAATTGATAACGTTGGGTTCCCAATTTAACCCATTGTAAATTTGAACAGCATCGAGACGTATCTGCTCCTCTATTTTTCTAATCATTTCAGCGATATTTTGTTTGAACTATTAATTTGATGTGCCACAAATCCGCGTCTGTCTGGCTATTATTGTATTTAAGAACAACAGGAAATTTTCCAGTTGAATTATATTTTTCAGGGTATTTTTGAAATGTTTTTTTTTGGAATTAATAGGTGCCACTTTTATTAGAAAAACGATGAATTTTAGATGAAGTATTTCGGATGATCATTTTTTTGTATTTTTGAAAACTTTAAAGTACAGCTCAATTTGACATGTTCAATTCAACATTAAGTGACACTTTGTAAATTTTTGTCTTACGTCTACTTGAGACTCAGAATTCACTTGAATTTTCAGCTCAACATGAAATTTCATGAGAATTTCTTCACTGAAATTAAATTCGTCAGTACTTTGACAAAAATTCCCAGTTAAAATTAAAAAATACTAATTTGATGAGAAAAACAGTGAGAACTGTCAAGTTGAAGTGAATTATTCAGTGAAGATCAGTAAAAATGAAGAAAATTCAGGTGAAAGGAAAATTGAAAAACTTTCGTGTTTTGAATCTAAAATTTATTTCAATTTCATCTTAAATGTAAAATCTTCAAGGAAATCTCCATTTGAATGAGATTCAATACTCAATTTTTTTTAATTTCCAATTTTAATTTTAAAAAAATGCAATTTTATGCCAAAATCAGTGAAAACCGTCATACCCCCAACCCCCTAAAATCATCACCCCTCCCCCCATTATATCACG